ATATATATATATATATATACACACATATAAATATGTTATATCTTCTCTCTGACAGTATTAAAATAGCTTAATTTAACACAACTAAACACACAATTACATTTGCTATTGAGGGAAGCAGTTGGGAGGGCTGGAAGTGTGACGTCCTCAGCTATTATACATCCCCAATTTATGAATTTTCAACTAATTGCCTTCATCTCACCGACATGAGAACAGAGGTGCTGGATGGTCAGGATTCTCTTTATTGTCTTATAGAGGTAGAAAGACTTTTTACCTGCTATTGAGTGTCACAAAAAAAACGCCACTTTAGTCACACACAAACTTCCCTGAAACTGCTAAGTGGGCGAGCAGCCAGTGCTAATGCTAATGCTAACGGAGTCCAGTGCTAATGCTAATGCTAATAACGGAGTCCAGTGCTTCACTTTAGGGAACTCAAACTCACCAAACGCTATCAGAGTTATGGCCAAATTTTATACCCCCCTGGTAATACCTGGCCTGGTAATTTGTTACGTCTCACATGGGCCTGACTAATAATAATAATAATAAGCCTTTGGAAAAGGACACCAGACTCTGAAGAAGACATTTGGTAGCTCAACCGAAGACGTCTAAACCTGATGGGAACTGCTGGGTAGATTTACTGATTGAGGACTTGAGATAACACCTGGACCACCCTTATATTCAATTCGTTCTCTTAAAAGTTACGTGTGATGGGAGAAACCATTTTTGAATCAGGACGTTATAAAATAAAAATCTTGAAACTACAACCTAAGACAGCGAGACATTGAAGTATTACTTACATTTCTTGTTTCTTAGACAAAAAATGAAGCCAAAGCTGTTTTTGTACCTCTAAAAACTTTAAAGAATGATATTGGAGACTGAAAAGATGATGAAGAAAACAATTCAAGATGATTCTGGTTGGTTCTACATGCTGTTGGGTCACAGGGTGTACTTAGTTGGAGTATCCATTTGGGATAGGTTTTTGTTAAATAATGTCTGTAATTTTATTTAAGGGATAAATTAAACACATTTTTACACCTGGTAAGGATCATTTTTTAATTTTTTTTTTGTGAAATCTAACATATTTGTAACCTTTTAAAGCCTGATCCAAGAAAAATTTGAAGAATATTGGTTTTTTTTTAGTCTGAAGTCTTTCTTTAGGCCCTCAACAACATATGAAAAAAAAAAAAAAGAAATTATTTTGATCAAATGAGCGTGCAATAAGTCAAAAATGTATTTTGGTGTAGTCTTCTACTGGCTGTTATCAGGTATATCTGAATGTGTACAACAGGGGTTTGAGCAAAGCTTTTACCACTGAATGATGCAAAACGTCTGAGATCCAAAAGACTTCAAAAACCGTATCAAATATGACACATTTGGCATTATAAGGTTAAGAGAGCGCACCTAATTTTTCATATGTTTCTACATTATTTCCTCTGTATGTATTTTAAGGGTACAGAATGCTCCTCACATGATCAGACATCAGCCTATGTTTGCTCTCTTTGGTTTTCTTAAGATTCGTTCGGTACGTCACCAATCACAGCAGAGCGATTGCTTTTCTGCTGGATTTCTTCCTGAAAATATGCACCTTTATCCCTTTATTTAGACAGGGCTGCACTCCTTTGGCTTTCAGATGAACAAACACAACTCAGAAAGGCGAATCCATGTCTGAGATCTGAGTTGCCAGTTGGATTAATTTGGGAACCATCTTTAAACAATATAAGAATCTCCATAGACGTCTGTCAGAATCCATTTTCAGTGAAAAAAGTTGAATTAATAATGTATCATCCTGACACATTTGCCAGTCCCAAAGTAAATCACAGTTTTAATAACTGGAAGTATGAGAATAGGAAGTCTCTATCAGGTACCCATCATTTATCTGGCCAACATTTCAGTGTTTTCGCATTTAGGATTTAGGAGGAATTGTGGGCCGAACTGGAAGGGAATATTCAGAGTTATGTTTGGTTTTGGTCCTTGTTTATTCAGGCTGTGATATAGCTTAGCTTTACCCCTCTGTAAATTATTACTCATTTATTGGCATTTATTTATTCTTCTCACACTATCATTGTCACTTATTTTTGACCTGTATATATACATATAGTTACACATGTATATATCTGTTTATATTTTGTGGGAAACATATATATATGTATATATTTATTTATATTTTGTGGGGGGAAAAAATATATACATATATATATATATATTTATATGTCTAGACATGTATATCTGTATATGCTGTTGTATATCTGGGGTTCAATTATAAACAAAAATAATTTCCCTCTGTGCCAAAATCTTCTGTGGATGTAGACTATTTTTTATCATCAGTGGCATATGTTTGTCTTCTCAGAAAATATTACAAGATAATATAACACATAACAGATAAAGGAACATGTGAAATTGTCAGGGCTTAATCTCTTTTCGCAAATTGTTACTGCATGTAACTCCTATATTGACTGAATAACAGTCAAAGCGTCTTCCTGCCAGACTCTGAAATATGTAGAGGGTAGTTTTGACACCTACTAAATGCAAATTGCTACTTAAAACTAATATTATTACACACATTCCCAGTTTACGGTTCTGAGCAAGGGGTCTTAAATAAGACTCTGAGTCACGAACTCCGTGAGGAGCGACAGAAAGGGAGGGGAGCAGGCTCGAGAGGACACTTTCGGTCTGTGCAAATAGGAGACTAAGAAACACATTTACCGTTAGTTATTTACAGACACGGAGCAGAAAGCCGCTAACACAACCGGATCACTGGATCAAATATAGATTCTGCACAAGCCAAAGTACCATGCACTGTTTACTAAGGCAACTTCAATCGACTGGAGTGAAAATCAACCGTTAACACTGTATGCGAAAAAAAGGAAAAAACTAAACAAAAACACACGGA